CAGCACGGGAGTCAGCATTCATGCGCCCTGCAGGCATCCACGTCCTTGTTCTCCACCCGACAGGTCGGGGTTGTTAGATTTCATACAGGTTGGGGCTGTTAGATTTCAAGAGCAGGCCCCCCCGGCCAACCCCACCCAACATACCCCGGCCGCCAGACCCCAAGTTGTCCCGATGATCTCCGGGAATCCCGGATATCCCGCCTCGCACCCGGCCAACCCCACCCTGCATACCCCGGCCGCCAGACCCCGAGTTGTCCCGATAATCCCCGAGAGTCCCGGGTGTCCCGCCTCGCGCTCAGCCAACCCCAACCTGCATACCGCGGCCGCCAGACCCCAAGTTATCCCGATGATCCCCGAGAGTCCTGGGTGTACCGCCTCGCGCCCTCGACGAACACGACAGTACACAGCAAGACATAACAGAACATGACATAACGGAACAGAGGATGACATAACATGACATAACATAACATATCATTACCCCGGCAACGTAGAACATAACAGACCATCACATAACGTACCAGAGCATACCATGACATACTAGAAGACGACATAACACAACATAACAGAAAAGAGCCGAGCATACCAAAACACACCTGGACATAACATACTACATCATGCCACATCATCACGAAACATGTCATAACACGACAGCAGAGCATAGGGACGACGAGCACGAAATAACACAACATGCCACAACCGAACATGGCATACTCGAAAACAATCATGACATAACATGGCATTGCAGAACATAGCAATGCCATGACCAAACAGAGCATACGATACCATCACGTAACAAACCAGAGCGTAACATGCCATAACAGACGACGGCAGAGCACAACATACCATAATCGAGCCGAGCATAACATACACACATCTTGACATACCATATGATACCATGACGCATCATCACATAACATATCATAACACGACAGCAGAGCATAGCGACACATTTTAGCAGAGCGGATCTTCATATGCTCTACAGAGCCGAGCCGTCATCAAACAGAACATCGCAGGACGTACCAGAGCAGAGCATGGCAGAACAGAAGACGACATAACACATCATAACATAACAGAGCCGAGCATAACATACCACACCTTGACGTAACATATCATAGCACGACACAGCACCACAGAACATAGCATAACACGACAGCAGAGCATGGCGACGACGAACACGACAGCACACAACCTGCCACAACATAACATGACATAGCCGAACACGATCATGATATAACATGGCACAACATGTCATAGCAATGCCATGACAACATGAGTCATCACAAGACATCACATAACATACCAGAGTAGAACCTCACATAACAGAATACGACATAACACAACATAACATAACAGAGCCGAACATAAGATAACATCCCTTCATATCGTACTACGGCAGCAGAGCATAGCGACACATACTAGCAGAGCATGGCAGAACAGGACACGACGACACACAACATAACATAGCAGAACCGAGCATACCATAACACACTATAGCAGAGCATGTCACAACATTACATGACAACATCACAACACATATTATTCCACGACAGCAGAGCATACCGAAACATACGTTCAGAGCATCTCATGTTGTACTATACTGAGCCAGGCTGTCAACAAAATCGCGGAACAAAGCATTTTAGAACATCCATCGACGTAACATACCATGTCGTAGCATAGTGTCTCAGGGCAGATCATACCATAGCATCACAAACAACATGGTGACATAGATGAGCATAACATAACCTACTCATTCAGACGAGAAAGTTATAAGTGAAAAGAAGCATCATAACAGGCGACGTATCTAACGTCACAAGCGTCACGCCGGCCCGCCGAGAACAGAGCAGGACATAAGACAGCAGAGCCTGCTCTATGTGAATCGTTTTTTGTTGCACCATGTTTAAAACGTTCTTGCTTCAAGCTTGAACAATCTATGCTCTATTGGGTTTCTGGGTTCAAAAACGGCTTTGGATTCAAAGGATACATGGAACACGATGAAACCGTTTTCGAATCCAGAGGCGGCAGTTGTCGACCAATTCGGCGACCGCGCGCCGTCGGGAACAAGTCGCGCCCACTTGCCCTCCAAGGTCGGAGTTCGTGGCAGTAGCAGGCTTTGGTCGGCGGCGAGGGCGAACGCACATTCGCGTACTGGTAGCTGGCGGGCCGCGCCGGGATTATTGGTACACGCAGCAAACTAGGGGAAGAAGAGGGCAACATACATCCTCGCGGAACACGATCGATTTCACTTGAGAGTGACCCTGCGCCGGATTGACCTTTGTTGCGGGCTCACCGGGGTCCCCCCGACCGCTGAGAGCGATGCGATAGTGGCTGCTTGCGCGCTCGGATTTGGCCACCTTGCGCCCACTTAGTCCGCGCACTGACGGTCACTCTTGCCTAGGGTCACTCTTGCGTGTAGCCGGCAGGCCCGAGCCCGCCATGGAGCTAGATTCCACGACGGGCGTCGAGCCCACGCGGGGCGCTCCAGAAATGGCCTCGCGTTGGGAATCGAAGGGGCGTTCGCTTCTCTTCCCCCCGCGGACGGCGGCACAGGTACAACGCAC